CTGCTTCACAACATCCTTTTACATGGTGGAATGAACATGGAAGAGTAGTGTGCTGATGACTCAAAAGAGAAGCGAAGAAGAGGCAAAAATATGCTTGTCATAATGGATTGTCATCATGTTATGAACGTGACAGAGTGTCATAATGGTTATGAACGAAACCTTATTCCATGTAATTTACAGTTGATTTGGGATGTATTTTTAATTTTAACCCAACTTGAGGATGTATTAGACCTTGCTTACATTCTGATATTTTGATTTTTATCATCATAAGTGTATGGGTATGTATTTTAATCAGTTTCTTTTGTAGTAATTGTTATGAACGAACTACATTTTGTACTCTGAGGGCTTTCCAGAGTTGATAAACATTGAAAACATGTACACAGATTCATATTATGAGGAAACTTTCATTTAATATAAAAATTTTAAGTAAATGACAGGTCAAAATATTCATTTTTAGGTAAAAACTGAAGTTTGTCATAATAGTTATGAACGAACCATTAAAGGTATTCTAAGGATTTTTCAGCGATTAAACTTTGAATTCTTCCAACATATAAAAATAACCTTATTTTGAGGAGAGTCTCATAAATTAAAACAATTTTATGTGAATGACAGAACAATAAGTTAATTTTTTGGGCCTAAAGTAAAATTTGTCATAATAGTTATGAACGAAACAGTGTGTCATAACGGTTATGAACGAAACCTTATTCCATATAATTTACAGTTGTTTTGGGATGTATTTTTAATTTTAACCCAACTAAAGGACAGAATAGACCTTGCATACATTCTGATATTTTGATTTTTATCATAAGAGTGTGGGTGTGGATTTTAATTAGTTTTATACTTTTGTAGCAATGGTTATGAACGAACTATTTATAGTCCATTTTATATATTTTGAGGACTTTTCAGTGTTAATAAACTTTAAAAAACATGTACAGAGATACATATTATGAGGAGACGTTTCATTTAATAAAAGTTTTAAAAAATGAATGACATATCAAAATGTATAAATTTTTAGGTCAAAATTGAAGTTTGTCATAATTGTTATGAACGAACCATTTTAAAGGTATTCTAAGGGTTTTTCGGGAAATAAACTTTGAATTCTCCCTACATAGAGGAATCTATCATATTTTAAATGAAAACCATTTTATGAGAAAGACAGAACAATATAAGTAAATTTTAGGGGCCAAAAGTAAAATTTGTCATAAAATAGTTATGAACGAAACAGTGTGTCATAATGGTTATGAACGAACTTTAAATTTATGCATAACATGCCCTATGACCAGTTGGCGTTTAAAAATAGCTGTTCAATGGTCTTTCATTTATGACTTGACTATAATTAGACCACAGTGTTATTTTACACAATTTTAGTCGATGAAACTTGACATAACTAATAGTATTTTGGTCACTTATTGTTCGTTCATAACTATTATGACACAAAAAAGTAATTTTATTTTTATCAAAAATTAATAAGGATTTTTATAAACTGTCAATTCTATGTATTTTTGGAAGTTATTTGCTATGTCTCAAAATATAACATCAGCCTAGCTGAAGAAAGGAACTTTGAGTATTCATAAATTTGTGTGATCATTGTTATGAACAAACTTTTTGCTATTTCCGTCATTCAAGTCAGAATTTCACCAAGACCATTGCATATACAGCTTTGGCAGTTACTGAGCCTGAAAGAGCAATCATTAGGCTATATAATATGGATGATTAAAGAATTATTACATAAAGTTGATTTTGGACCTCATTTGTCACACCCAGGTACCCCACCTTTTGGCAAATGCTCAATTGCTAAACTTTGCCCCCAGCAAGGTCAGCTTTACTTAGTCATTCTGGTCATACTAATGATGCAGGGAGAGCCAGTTTAGATAGAATAGATCTAGATCTAGTAACTGGATGGTAAAGCTCACATCTCGACTGTTATCATTATAATCGAAAAAAAGTTTGTAAATACTGAAAATATTTAGGAACAAGGGTTGGAAGTCGGAACGGATGTCATGCTGGACTTAGACCTGCATGTGAGCCTCAACCAGATTGTCTGAAAATTTTGCGCACCCCCCCCCCCCCAAAAAAAAAGCCTTTGTGGGTGTCATAAGGAAGGACATCCGAGTAACAAGCGACCACCCCAAAAAACACAATAAAGAAGAGACCTAACCCTAACCCTACCCCCAAAAAGAACCTGCAACGGTGCGGGCCTCATGTAAAAAGGCCAAAACAAGTCCTAAATGAAAAAAAAAATTAAATTAAAAAACCACACCCTAAAACAAACAATAAGCATATAAAATCTAGATCTAGATTTATATATGGCTTACATCTACATTGCTATAGGGTTTGATTGATACAATAACACAATGGAATTGGAATATGAATCCTCCATATAGATCTAGTAATCTAAATAAATCTAGATCTAGTAGAACAAGTGAATAGGAATAGGCCTTGAACTCGAAATCCGCATCCGATCCCGAACAGAGGTACTCAGCTGAGTCTAGATCTAGATCTAGAGATCTAAATAAAAATAAATAATTCACGCACCTGATGAATTGCTTATTTTTACGCTAAAATATTACAGCACAACCTATGATAGGGTTTGACACAATAGAATTGGAATATGAATCCTCCATTGAGGTCTATAATGATCTATATAAATCTAGATCTAGATCTAGATCTAGATTCTATTAGAACAAGAGAGTCGGACTTGATAAATGAATCAACACGATCTAAACAATTGAATTAGTCAACAAACGAAATTAAAAATGGCCGCTCGAGCACGAAACTGAAAGTAGATAATTTAGGTTGTCGTCCTTTTTCGTATTCGCATTTCTACTTAGGTTCCGACAATTATGTCGGAAACGCCGACGTCGGCAGTCGGCGGTGCGCGCGTCGGCGGTCGGCACGAAAACGAAAGCGCCGACGGGAGAAAAAGGGGTCGCTGGCAGTCGGCCAGGCCTCGCACTACGCACATTGACTGATACAGGCGGGCCTAGCGATAGCATCGGCCGGTTCGCGGGTCGGGTCGCGATTGTCGGCAAACATGCAGGTCTATGGACTCAATGAAATTCAGAGTCTGAATATAATTTTTCTCTATTCGGACTCGAGTCACTTCGAAAATTTAATCTAGATCTAGAGTAGCTGGCCCAAATCGTGACCACTTGTCGTATTTTGCTTCTCAGCGGTCTGTCCGCAAAATAGGTCAGGCAATCCATGTTCAGGGCCGCTTCAGTTCAGTGTGTCAACTTCCGGTTTATACAGTGATATCATCACTCATTCCAAAACGTCATTCACAGATTTCCCATTTTAACATTTTAATGTTCTGCCCTTGGCGCAATCACACACGGAATGGGGCGTGACCATGCACGCACAAACATTTTATAACAGGTGCAAAAAAGTTGTTAATAAAGGTTAGATATCTAGATCTAGAGTGGTGTAGCCCCTGCGCCTGCGCCTTCTCGGTGCGTGCACTTTTGTTTTCCTTTGTTTTTAGCCTCAAATTGCGTTTTTGCGTTTGATTGAATGCGTCAGTGTGTGCAGCAGCCATTTTTGTTTACTTCCATCACTCGTTTGCCGACAAGGGATCATCGAGAGTGTTTTTATCAGCTGTGGCAAGTTGACATTCAACGCTGACCTGTGAACTAGTTTTCATGACCTATTTGCCTCTGATTGGTTCAAATAGACTGTGCGCGCCCCCTAGCTTAAAAAATGTGCCTACTCCTTCCTTGAGTGTTTCACGTGACCTTTTATCGAGTTCTATGCCAAGTTGTATTGCGGGTTTCGGGATCGGGGGGGTGCACACGTTGTGAAGACTGAAAAAACTCGAGTTTTCTCTGCGCGTGCACAATGAAATATATAGTAGAATACTAAGAAAAAAAGTAGACTCAATTTTAGAGATTATTTGGTTGCAGTTTGAAGAATGTCATGGATGGTGGCATGTGGACTGTGTGAAAGATGGAAAGATCAGAGGAATGAGTGATGAAGAGTAGGAAAATGTGGATTTTAGTTGTGAAAAATTCTGTTTGATTTTTTTTCACTATGTATTTGAACTATTTATACCACCTAAATTAAATTAGTTTAGATTCTAATTAAAATTGCCTTACTTTGCTTCTAAAGTGACTTGTTATCTTCCTGCGTGGTCATTTAATGCAGTAATGTTATCAGATTCCTCTTCTTTTGGCTTTCAACGTGTATATATGGGTGCACGCAGTGAAGAATCCCATGCACGCACTGAGAAGAAATGCACGCTCAGTGAAGACAACACCCTAGGTTGGAAAAACTGTTCGGCACACAACGTTTAAGAAATCTGGCGACTATGAGCAAGACCATTTTATAGGTCAATAGTTTCTTGAATGGAATAGCTAAAAACGAAAGTACAAAGCCGGAAATGGCGGAAAATACATTCAACGATCGCGAAGTGCACGCGTACCGGCGACACCACTCTAGTTATAATCATTTCTTAGCAAATTATGATGAAAACAATTATCTTATTATTATAAACGGAGGATATAGAGACAGGTGGTCGCGGGTTGGGCCAGCTACACTAGATCTAGAATCTAGATCTAGATTTAGATTCTAGTAACCGAAGAAAACTTCTCGAAGAATGTTTCCGATTTCCTTTCACTTTGAACTCGACTGCTGCACTAGTCGACGACTGATGTTCTCGGAAAAGGATGGACTAAAAGTGGAACTAGATCTAGATAAGGGACGTAACTCTAAGAAAAACAGATTGCACGCAAGCCGCACAAAAAAAAGGAAAAATGGAGAACTGGTCGCGCTCAGGGCATGGTCACACCAACAAGGGCCGATGTCTCTAGATTTTAGTTGGGTGAAAAATATTAAATTATCGATTGAACACACCGTACTGCAGGCGGTGAAGACTACAAGTATAGATCTAGAATCTAGATCTAGAGTCTACAGACTGTGTATGCAAGGTCTGCTCTACTTTTATGGTCTGCTGTGTGAAAAAATTCATGAAGTCAATCATGGCAAAATGAAATGGGACACACCTCTTCAAGGAAACGTGTTACATCGTAGACTTTGTTGTGAATGACAAGGTACGTTGATTTGGCGTCGTTGTGAGCTTTCACTTCCGACAACCTAAACTCCTTTTTTTCTGCGGCCATGGTTGCTGAAATAGAATTTAGAGTCTGCTCGCCACAGTTTTCCGACCAAGTAGCTCCTCGCTCAGGTGACACACAGAGACCCAATAGGCGAATGCGGGCGAGTGCCGAGTGCTGACCTGATGGCTGTCTGCTACTGCTCCGTGCTTCCTCGTCTCCACAAGGCCTTATGGGTAATGTCACACGAACAGCTTTGACCTACATAGGCCTAGGCTAGGCCTTGGGCACACTGAAAAGGTTGTTATGTAAAGGAGTTCAGCTCATTATCGAGACATAGGGGAAAAAATAACAAAAGGGGAGGGGCATTCTTTGTAAACAAGAAAATGTGTAATCATTAGCCAAAGACATGTCATTTTGTTTCAGATTAAGTTAACTAGCTTATGCCATTATGGAATTTAAGAAAAATATTGATTAACATTAATAAATCCTCCAATAATGCAAGAAACTCTATCTTACTTACAGAGGCCTTTTTATTTTACTCTCTGTCCATTTATTTTTATATAATTTTGTTTCAACATTTAATAAGTTAGAAAGGCGTATGCAATTTACCAAACAGCATTATAATAATATTGAAGTTGAGGCGAAACAAAATCATTCAGTTTTGAAAGGAGTCTCAGCAGATCAAAAAAAGGACGGAACCATAGCCATTTTATTTTTCCTTGCCAATTTGTACTATTAGCCAGATCGGTGCTGTTACAAAACTTAATCGAAAGAAAAAAAGAAATGTGACGGTTTTCTTAAATGATATACTACGACATTGTGATTTTAATCTTCACTTGAAAAAAAGCTTGTAGACAGAAGCAGATACAAAGTTTCAAAGTTTAAAGCAAACATACACCCTTTGAAAGCAGAGAAAAGTGGCCGTCAATGTGTGGATACCACAGAATTCTGTGGTAGCTAGCTAGGCGTACCTGACAAACTCTCCACTCATCCTCTATCCTTTCACTTTAGCAAAACAAGGATATAGGCCTATCTACTCGAGGATCAGCACTCCTTTACCTTCACTGATCTAGAATCTACTTGACCAAGTCATTTTATCTGGTCCGTCATACAGACTCGTTTTTAACTCTAAGAACTGACGCACTTGTTTTGAATGGACTGTAACTGTAACGTAAGTTTTTTTCGTTTTCGTTATTTTTTCATATCTTCAACAAGTAAGTTAGTGATAAAGTAAGTTCATGTTGTCTTACTCTTAATTAGGCTGTTATGTCTCTAATTATGATAATGAATGTAAGTTAGTGGAAGTGGAAGCCGAACTTGTCAGACGGGATCGCAGCAAGGCAGAAAGGGGGCCAGGAGAAGAATTCCGCCTGGGATATGTTTTGTCTTTGAAAGTGGATATTCTCACCCGCCGGAAGTTCTCGCAAGATCAACTCCTCCCCTCTTCTCTCTCTGTCTCTTTCTGAATACTGTCTATCGGTGTGGACGATCAAATTGACCAAAACAAAGTTAAAAAATGATGTTAAAACACAAAAGTAAATTAATTTGGTTGTCTACAAAGATGCTACGGCTATTTAACTTTTCGAATCGAGCCGAACTACGCGGGTCGCCATTTTGTTTTGCCCGGAAATTCTCGCGCTACTCCTCTCTCTCTTTCTCTCTCTCTCTCTCCACTGCCCACAGACAGACAAAATTGTACGCTTTTAGTAGGCTACAGTTGTAATGGAACGTTTGTTCACGGCACAGAATTCTACAATTTTTCTGTTATCACAGTGTAGAATTCTGTGGTTTAGGGTGAACGCAAAATTTGGTGAACGCGCACCGGGTGAGAATAGCCACAAGACTCGCCTGCACTATTCTCACTCCGGGTGAGAATAGAGGTGGCCTTTGTCTTTGACAGGGGAATTGAGAAGGAAAGGAGGGCTCTTGAGAGCGAGCCCCGTGCTACGTATGGAATTAAGGGTTGCCAGTCTGGTCGGCAAGAGTAGTGGTGAAAATTCGAAAACTTCACTCCTCCCAAGCCTAGGTCCAAGTCAGCCAAGTTGATCGTAGCCTCTCTGAATATGATAATATAGGAAGTGGCTATCCTCACCGGGGGTGAGAATAAAAATACGATCGACCTCTCACCCCGGGTGAGACTTGCTAGGTTGGCTAATCTCACCCGGTGTGAAACAAGACCTATTTTTCCTAATTTCGGAATACTGTCTATCGGTGTAGATGATCAAATTGACAAAAGCAAAGAAAAAAATGAAGTTATAGCACAAAAGTAAGCTAATAAATCTGGTCGTCTTCTAAGATCATGCCATGGCTATTTCACTTTTCAAATCGAGCCGAACTACAGGGGTTGCCATTTTGTTTTGCCAGGAAGTTCTCGCAAGATCTACTCCTTAACTCTTTCTTTCGGTCTCTTTCTGAATACTGTCTATTGGTCTGGATGATCAAATTGACCAAAACAAAGTTAAAAAATGATGTTAAAACACAAAAGTAAATTAATTTGGTCGTCTACAAAGATGCTACGGCTATTTAACTTTTCGAATCGAGCCGAACTATGTTACTATGCAGGTCGCCATTTTGTTTTGCCCGGAAGTTCTCGCGCTACTCCTCTTTCTTTCTTTCTCCCTCTCTCTCTCTCTCTCTCTCTCTCTCTCTCTCTCTCTCTCTCTCTCTCCCTCTCCCTCTCCCTCTCCCTCTCCCTCTCTCTCTCTCTCTCTCTCTCTCTCTCTCTCCACTGCCAACAGACAAAATTGCAATGCTTTAAGTAGGTACCAGAAACTAAATTTTCGAAGTAGCTGTATGCCAAATTTATCTGTTCCATTTGAAAGGCATATATATCCACTGAGCATTTTGGTAGCATTCTTTAACCTCTCAGTCAATTTTTAAGAAAATGATAGTTGTTTAAAATTTGATCAAATTTGTTTAATAAAAGTCAGTCACTGGCTGCAATCCCATGTTTGACAGACAATAAAAGAGTACCAAGTGCACTAAACATCTCCACATTAACAGAGTACAATCACTTTAACAAATATATGGAGCCTAATTTTTTTCAAGACTGTGAGATCATTACAAATTTGTATTTTATTACTTCAAACACGATGATCTGTCGTTATTTCGACAAAAACACCGACCGTTGACCCGGCCGGCGCCGCACCGGCCCCCGCGGCGAGCGAGTCGTCTTATACTGTAGTGTACCCCGCGTGCGGGGTCACACATGCTTTCTGAGTCTCGCGGAAGGATTGATGTAAAATAATATACTGTAGTGTACCCCGCGTGCGGGGTCACATGCTTTCTGAGTTTCGCGGAAGAATTGATGTAAAATAATTCCAAGCTGATTACTTTATTCTAATAGGAAATAAACTGATCTTTTTATTCAACCTTTTTTAAGCCGGTATTTTACATATTTTGGGTAAAAAGTGATCTTTAAACATTTTGACAGCATTTTTAAAAGCTTTCTGTTTAAACGACAGAGGCCAAATATATACCACGAGAAAGCCTGTTTAAAGCGCTACAGTTCTCAACCAATGAAAAGACAGTATTTAATCATCGCTCATTCCGCAAAGCATTTGAATGCACGCGTGTCAATTTTTGAACAGGCCGACCACGCATTCCGACTGCGAGGGGCTTCGCTTGCGTTGGCGATTCTCCAGCTCCTAATAATCGGACATATATAAACAACTTACACCATTGTAACAAGGAAAAGCTGAACTTTTACAAGGTGTACGGCATTTGGTGTTTTATAACGAAAGAGCAAAGAAACAGCTATCGGAATTACCCCGATTTCACCGATACCACGCGGTTGGAAGGCCGCGACTGCCCGCGAGGCCGTGTTTACGCTACCTACTTTTAGGCTAACAGTAGAAACAGAAGAGCGCTGGAACGTTTGTTCACGGCAGAGAATTCTACAATTCTGTTATCAGTGTAGAATTCTGTTGTTCAGGGTGAACGCTACACTGGTTGGCCTAGGCTATAACGGTGAACGCACACCGGGTGAGAATAGCCAAAAGGCTCGCCAGCACTATTCTCACCCGGGGTGAGAATAGAGGTGGCCATGATAATAATGGCATGCATGCCTGTCACCGTCACTGTCACCAAAAGACTACTACTATAAGTCTTACATCCAGTGTCCAGTGCCACAACTTTTTCCGCCTTGTAGGACCACTGTTTGACCAATTGAAAATAGCAACATTTGAATACTGTCTCCTTACTTCCTTCCTTAGCCCCACTCATCGATGTATAAATATTTGTAAACACCTACAATCTACCAGTGCGACCCCTCCCCTCATGTAAATAATGTAACAACGATAAGAGGACCTTTTTTGTCAGCGGGCTGTATGATCAGGATGGCCAGCCTTGTGGCCAAATTGATTTCACACCTATGGTTACTTAGAAAAGTTTGTTGGAGTAAAATTTTACTTTCCCTATTACACTTGCACACAGATCATTGCTTTGCAGATGAGTTAGAATATAAGTTATTCTCTTATAAGTGTTCCTGACATTTTTTGAAGCAATAGTTCTTGATATTCTAAATAATACATTGTTTTTAAAGGAGTAAATGAAGAGAAAATTATGTGAATAAAGAATTGTCTTTTTAATCCACAGTTCTTGTTATTCCAGTTGTCATTAAAAAAAGGATCCCACAGCACTATTATTACTGTACTGCAGGCAGTGAGAGTTAGTTTCATATTTAATTATTTAGAATTTACTTTTGTTCACTGTTCTCAGGAAGCATGACACTGAGAGAGGACACTGCTGGCAGTTACCACTTCTAGTCATGAACGCCTGGTCGTGGGACAGTCAACCGAAACTTCAACCAGTAGCAGAAGTTCGGCGGAGTCACTTTCTGAACAGCATGGACTCTGCCAGCACCAGGAAGCCCGACACCGGCCCGTGTCTGTCGTCAGGTCACAGACGCTGCTCTGATGGCAGCTGCATCGCTCGTGTTGACCTCTGTCGTAAGTGTTTGGTCATGTGTAGCTCTCAGGGGAAAATATATATACAGCTTCCATTTAACTAACACCTGACCAAATTCTTTGTAATTTGAATTGCTGACTTTTGCATGAGAAAATAACTAAGACTAGTGGTACTTACTCAGATTAGAGTTTAAAGAGTTGATGGTTATGATTTTTATGCTTCCCGTTGACAAGATATGGGCCATATTAAAAAAAGTCTTATATGAAACATCCTCAATTTGTAATTGTTGATCAGTTGTGAATCTGACCATATATAAAATATGTGTATGTGTATGTGTGAAAAGTCACTCTTTATGATGTTTAAATGTTTTAAAATATTATTGTGTGTATGATATGTCTCCCAGCTGAGGACAAAGTTGTGAACCAGAACACAATTCTGATCATGGTGGTGGTGGGTATGGCAGTGGTTGTGTTCCTCCTGCTTCTCTACTGCTTTCAACAACGGGCCCAAAGATTCCGACAACAGCAAGGTAAAATGACAATATGTGTTCATCTCTCAGGGGGGAATTTGTCTTGGTCATGTACAATAGCAATGGTATTTCAAAGATCGGGTGTTACTCAAGCATACACACAGCAAGAAAGGACATATAATATAAATGCTTGTATGTGTTACATGCTGAAATACCTCTCCATGAACACTCTCTCTGTTTGTCTGTCTGTCTTATTTTTTTTTGTGTGTGTTTTCCGGCGCTCACAACTGCATACGGTCATATGAGCACGCAGTACACATTTAATATTTTCAGTTGGTAGGTCCTGAAATTTTGAATTTTGCCCTGGTGGCTGCCGCAGCCTACTCTTATCGATTTTAGACCACCAGGGGGTCTTTAACGTGCGCAACTTGCACACAGGCCCTCCGAGATTTTTCGCCCTTGTCCGAGAAGGCTAGGTGTAGATCTTTCCTACCAGAAGATCGGGGGTGTGGCTGGAAGACAGCAGTAAGAAGGAGCCAAGGAGTAGCAGTAGAAAGGCTGCAGAAAGAGTCAGGAGCCCAGGGGAGGGGGCGAAGGAGCTGAAGGGATGAGGGCAGAAAGAAGAGACGAAAGCAGACAACAGAACATTCCTAGAGAGCAGAAAAGGAGGTGAAAGGAGGAAATTTTAGAACCCGGCACCTTTAAATGAGAGGCCAACACCATAACCTCTAGGCCACGAGAGCCCCCTGTCTGTCTGTCTGTCTGTCTGTATGTATGTCTGTCTGTCTGTCTGTCTGTCTCTCTCTCTCTCTCTCTCTCTCTCTCTCTCTCTCTCTCTCTCTCTCTCTTTCTCTCTCTCTCTCTCTCTCTGTGTTCAATAACCTCATTTCAATTGTTTTTTCAGTTATAAGTAACATACAAACCTGCTCTAATGGACATCTGTCTGAGACCACAAGATAATAACCTGTTACATGTGACCACTTCACACCTCCATTTTGCTTGTTTTTTTGTGGGATTTTTTTTTGGGGGGGGGGGGGGGGGTTGTTGGTCTTTAAAAAAAAATACTGTAATGATGTTAACCTGTTTAAGACAACTCTTTTCGCCTCAACAATTGAACACTATTGAATATGTTGTTATCTCAGTATTGTATGGGCTATGAATTTATTTTCTTTTTTCCCTTTTTTCCTACTAGCACAGTTGGCAGGAAGTCGAAGTGTTACCATAGAGTGAACAATTTGTAGTTTGAGTTTTGTATGTTGCTGATGAACCAGAACTTTGGTGCAAAATTATTGGTGGGTTCATCTCAAGTATTATTTGTACTTCTGAATTTGGAGACTTTGACTTCTTAAAACACTGAAGGAATTACTGTGTATACTCTTTTTGTGTTTTAATTCATGATTTTTAACTCACTTCAGACGGGTCACACAACAGTTGCGTGACCCCCGCCGCGACGGGTCTCACAAGCCCTGCGTGACCAACTTTGGAATTTTTTTTTCGCTCTACAAATCACGCACGGATCGCGAGACCCGCCTCGTACCCTTGTTTGGCCAAGCCTGAGCTACTTAGACTTCGTTTCGTATCTCTGGGGCCGGTAGTTTTTAAGTTATTGAAGGTGAAGGATAGTGACCCCAACTGGGGTTGAACAGACCGGAACTCGCGCTTTGTTTTTTTCTATACAGCTGATAGTAATCCGACAGTCGCGTCGTAGTAACAGTCGAAGAAGTCGCATGAACAAGAATCCCATAATTTCGCCGTTTTCTATACTTCTGTGCGTTTTACTAGTTCTAGTGTCTCAGAATATGATGTGTCTAATAGTTAGGATCCTGGATATGTACCCGAACACGGCCCGAGTCGTAGTTCTAGGGCTAGATCTAGCACTAGTACCGGTGTTGTTTTTCGCGCAACGAAATCACAACGTCGTGCCGTACATCTGTCTCATGTAATTCAGTGTATGGGTCTGAATCAATGCACAGACCAGCTCTAATATTTTCACCAAACACTCGCACATGTATACAAATCAAACCAGAACACTTTGAACTTTTATTTTTGTTGTTGCAGTGAATTTCATTCTACTTGTCACGTCTTTGGAAATTTTTCGGAAAATCAAATTCATGCCAATTTTTAAAAAATCATACAAATTAAAGTATTAGACTTAGACAACTTTAATTTTTTGTATTAGATTAAGCTTGAATGTTACTTTACTGTGTCAAAAAATGATTACAATAGGGTAATTCTGAGAGTTGTGGTGATTTTTTGAAATACCCCCAAAAACGCCAGTCTTCAACGCTTGTGACTGGTGAAAGGGCCCAGTCGCAAGTGAGTTAACTACGACGCGACTGTCGGATTACTATGAGCTGTATAGAAAAAAACAAAGCGCGAGTTCCGGTCTGTTCAACCCCAGTTGGAGTCACTGTCCTTCACCTTCAATAACTTAAAAACTACCGGCCCCAGAGATACGAAACGAAGTCTAAGTAGCTCAGGCTTGGCCAAACAAGGGTACGAGGCGGGTCTCGCGATCCGTGCGTGATTTGTAGAGCGAAAAAAAAATTCCAAAGTTGGTCACGCAGGGCTTGTGAGACCCGTCGCGAGCGTCGCGGCGGGGGTCACGCAACTGTTGTGTGACCCGTCTGAAGTGAGTTAAAGTAATTGGTGAATTGAAGTTTTTCACTCAAATGCATACATAACACTCAGGATGGCTCAAATCTTTCTCACCGTGCTCAAAATTTTTTGTGCTGAAAGTAACTCAAACCCATTCTTATGAAAGTGTTGCTTTTTTTTTCTTCCTTGAGCAGACCAGAGCAGGTCCGAGGTTGGCCATGAAGATGGGGACAATGCGTCCTTGAACATGCCCCCCCCAACGTATGACGAAGTAATCAACACCAACCTGTACCCCCCAACACCTGTGCTACAACGCAATGTGAGCATATTCTTGGACCGAAATTGTTTTTCAGTTTGTAATAAGAATTTTCCATCCTCAGTGTAACAGGAGTTTTTCCACCCCCTTCGACGCAATTTTGATTATTTAGGAGGCGGGTTTCCTACCCTGCTTGCCATGGCCTACCCAGGCTGAGAGAGATACATAATTCCAGCAAAGAGACCGAGGTACTCTATAAATATTTCTCTCCGTTCAGGATTGAACTTGGGTTTCCTGCATGCGACAGTGAAACGCCTAACTGCTGCAGCACAGAAGCCCTTTCTCTGTACTCAGTGACAAAGAATTTCTCATACATGCTCACCGTTCTAAGTATAGGTTATTTTGTTCCAGAATCTCTGATGCCATTGACTTGACAAGGGGAATTTTTAATGGTTGCATGCCGATTAAGTTCACAGTCAATGGCATCCCAACAATTTTTGTCTTTTATATCAATTTAAGAATACATTTCTGTGTGTTCACTGAAAACCGTTGATTAGAGGCACAAAAAATGTAAATTTTCAGTTTCCAAGGAAAGACTCTGAAGCCATGGAAGTCACCAAACTTAAAACGCCGTTTTCTATATAACTTTACCTATAACACCAGGCGATATCACCTTCTTTCATTGCAAATATTATTTCAACTTCCATACAAGATAATGGGTACTTTTTTCACGAAAAGCACAGCAAATGAACAGGCTTTAAGAAGATACCCACAACTCCATTTGGCTTAAAAGTTGACAAGCGCCTGATTCCCCCACGTCATGACACATTTAACACTTTGCAGTCACTTGGCGCAATAATTCGACAGTGAAAATTTAAAATTATTCGTTCTGGTTACCTGGCACAGTTCTGCACCATGCTTGAGAAGTCTGTTGCAGTCACTCTCCTGGCTGGGTTACCAGATGAGGTATTTTGTATTGCTGACTGTGTGACTGCAAAGTGTTCATACATTTTTTGTGGAAATCTGTTTTCATGTTGGAAATTATGTTTTCTGTTTTCTAGTATTGCTCCTCATGGGCTTAACAAAGCTGAAGAAAAGTTATGAACTTCCAAAACCAGATGTGTGAATAGTAGTGAGAACGAAGCTGATAGGTCAATTGTACTTGTGTCAGTTACCATAGCAAACTATTGAGCATGAGTTTGTGGAATGCAGAAAAGTGTTTCCTTGGCCAGTGCCCACCATCTTGACTCTCCATGTGGGCAGAGTCTGTTTTTATTTTTATTTTGGAAAGTTGGCAGCTCGGCATTTTATTATCAGAATTGTCTTTCTTTTTCTCTTTATCTGTGCTTGGGGTTTCCCCACAATGTAGGAGTCCTGTTTTGACAGGGAACCTGAGAGTGACATACATGTCACTATATTGGTCAGTAAATCAATACAAATGAACTTGTTTTGATAATTCATCTAATGAAAGCACCTTCAGAAGGAGAGAACTGTTTTTAACAATTGCCAAAAATATAAGTAATAACAACGTTGTGTAACTGAATTTGCTTGAGAAGCCGACCGTGGATCAGTGGCGCAGCGGTTCTGACCAAAGCCACTGGCAGCGGTTTGCCTAAGATAAGGAATTGACTCTTTATCTCCGAGGGACGTAAACACTTTGCGCCAGGGCCCTCTTTTGGTACAAAATCTAAAATTGACATACACATCACTAATTAATTGGTAATTAACTCGAAAACAAGTGAACCTTTTCCGGTAGTTCTTCATCTAATGAATGAAATTCTAGTAAAATAGACCTGTTTTTGGCTATCATCGGAAAGAAATTTGACTTTGAAGAAATGTGCCCCGAGTCGCTGCCACAGTTCACTGGCGCAGCGGTTCCGGCTGCGAGTCACTGGTAGTTGCTTGCCGGAGTCTATAAAGAGTTAAGAAAATAAATTGTTGTTCCAAGAAACCATTATGTTGAGGTTACCGTGAAAGTGTTAACATTGTTTTTTCAGATCCGAATACCCTCATCAGAGGAGCCAATCACCCCTCCCCCGAATTATGACACCGCCCTGACCATCCTGGCCAACAGCCTCGACTCAGTCGTTCCATCAAAGTCGGAACCTAAGAGCCCCGTGGTGAGGCGTTCTGTGTCCACAGATTTCAGTCTGAATGGAGGCGCTCGTTCTTCCCGCTCGTCTGAGTCGGATTATCGCCGTTTTTTCTCCAGTCAGGATCCAAGATAGTAGCGGGAGCACAAGTTTTTCACAGCATGTAGGGAGGTGTGGGGCTGGACTAGTGAGGTTGTTCGTCCTGAAGAAATACAGTGATATTTAAGGTATTTCACACACAGTACATTTCACTTTCAAGGAAAGATGTACAACTTTCGTAGACTTGGCGTTTTGAGGAATAAGTTCAGTCTATGTGAGAATTTATGGCATTTTGAGCTGCACAAAGATGGAACATTTAGAAACGGCTGTTTTCCTTTACAACAGTTTATTGCTTTATATAAATTTAGTATTTTGAGGAATTGAGTTATTTGCTTTTGAAAGATTTTATTTTTGATAATTAATTTTTTTGCATAACGAAGATGGTATTTTGAAAAATGGGCCTGTTTCTCTGAGAAGAAATATTCTCATACAGAGGAGCGAGTTAGTTCTTGTACTTAAATGACATTTTTGTACATGAACCTAACAGTACTTGATGGTGCATACAAGTGGTTAGGCACTTCACCATCTCACATAGAAGACCCAAGTTCAGTTTGTGTGTCAGGGGGATTTTTGTCGAGAGTCTTGGTCTTTCTCCTGGGATGTTGTATCCCCCTTCAGCCCGGGTTGGTCTTGGCAGACAGGATCAAAGCCCACTTCTTTAATTATGTGCCACGACGCAGTGGAATCAGGCGCTCATCAATGTTTGAGCATATGGAATTAACGGTATCATTTTAATGGTTGTTTTTTTGCCTTGCTTTTGATGAAAAAAAATGTCCATTCATCTTGAGCAGAAGTCGAGATATTTGCTATTGAAGGAGGTGGGTCGCCTGGTTTCAGTTTCATAAAATCCATACTTTAAAGTGTCTTTGAATGGACATACAAGGTGTTGAGCCAATAACAAAAATTCGGAAAAAAATTTCCTGTCTGGCTGAAAAATGCTGATTTCTCGGATTTCATTATTTTGACGAGCGCCTGATTTCACCACGATGCCTCACAAATGATTCTAAATGTGTCGATAGCTTTGTAAAAAAAGCCTCAGAATCTTTTAAAAAAAATTTCCTTTGCTGAGATGGGAAGCCGCATCCTCTGGCAAGGGTCGAGTTTTGACAAGTTTCTTTGTGGAATGAGATTTTGACAGTGGTTTCCTCTACCAATCTGTAAGTTAAATATTACCCTACTCTGAGCTTTTATATCCAGAAGCAAAAATAGTTGCTTTGTTTTTGCTGCTAAATTTCTTTTCTTTTGTATTCTTTTTTGTTTGTTTTTGTTGTTCCTTTGATAGCTTGTATGGTTCGATTGTGGCTGCTGTACAAATAGCAATGCGTGAGATGTTTTGAATAAATCATTTTTTTATTACAGATGTGAAGATTATAATGAAAAGAAAGGAACAACAGAACGCTAGGACTAATTTTGTGTTTTTCTTCCAGACTTGCATTTTCTTTTCCCTAGTGTCTTTGTGTTGTGCACACACTTTTCTCATAAAGGGAAATTAAGGCCTAAATTCCAAATGTGAATTATGTAGTTTTCTTTATAGGCTCATATGAAATTAATAATACAACATAATGGATGCTTTATACTTAATGATGCAGAATTGTTTCATGAATTCTTGAATTGTTACCTGAAACTGTTGGATTCAATCTTTTAAATTTAAACCCACTGGCCCCCCTCCCCCAACACCCGTGTACCATCCAGCTTTCCATATTCTAACAGTAACAGTGAACTACTGGCCAGTCTGTTTTTGTAGCAGAATCATAAATATCATATATATGGGCCGAGGAATTTACGAGGTCGGCTTATTGCTGTCTCCACATGTTGCAAGTGTTTCCTTGTCGCCTGTATCGGGTATCGTTCGAATAGTTTTGGAGGCTGCCATTTAAACAAAATCTGTGTACTGTTGTGATCAGAGACCTGACATTATAGTCATCCGGTGAAGCAACAGATAAATATTGGCAACGATAACCCTTTTGCTACATTTTGTAGCTGTAACTGTTTTGAGATCATAACTTACTGTTCTTGTTATATATCCAGTTCACAACTTCTGTTATTACCCTGGTTGTCATTTTATTATAAACTACTAGGCATACAATGGAGAAACTACTAAACCTTTTTTACCACCTATTTGGTCAGTCTGACTTTGTGAAACATGTTCTTGAAATATTCGTAGACAGTGCTGAGGAAAACTTTCATACTCATATCCCCCCCCCCCCCCAAATAGTTCCCCAACATTAAAGAGACCACATTTATTATTTCATGTTACCTTGTGCTGAGCAGCATTCCTGTCTTGGTCTTCTTAGACAAGGTACTTACAGAAATATAGATATATATTTTTTATAGGTATTTTGAAGATATGTATAGCCTATATATATATACTGAGGTGCAAAAGAAACGCGAATTTTTATTACAACATAATGATTGACAAAATACAACACATAGGTTTCAAGTTATTTGTTGTGTTTATTAGCTGAAACTTTGCACACTTCTTGAGTGACATAGCTGACATGAACTAAGGGTCCAGCACATTCATCTGAGCTCTCGTTGACCTTGACCTTGGTGAGCAAACTTAGTAACGCGTATGGCCTCCACGTGCAGCAATTATAGCGAGGCATCTTCTGTTCATAGAGTTAATCAAATGGTTGATCTGGCCATTTTGGATGCCACCGAAGATCTGGATGATGGCTGCAGTCAACTGGACTGCTGTACGAGGCCGTGGCTGCGTCTGGTTAAGCTGCCTTTAGATCATGTTCAACAAATGTTCAATAGGGTTCAAGTCAGGTGAGCGAGGTGGGTATGCCAATAAACTGACATTGTTGTGCGCCAAGAAGTTCTGGGTAGCACGTGCGGTATGTGGTCGTGCGTTGTCTTGTTGATATAGACAGTTAGGATGGCTCTGTAGAAAGGGCACCACATGAGGTGCCAAGACTTGTGCAATGTAGCGCTGAGCCGTGACGCCGTCTCCACGTCCTGGACCAATGTTCTGGAAGATGACAGGTCCCACTCTATGATTCAACGCCATGGTTCCCCATATCATCACACTTTCGCCTCCCCAGAAGTCACCCTCCAGAATGGTGTTGTCATAGCGAGTCGTGTCTCTACGCCACACACGGACACGGCCATTCACTGGATCGACGCAGAACCTGCTTTCATCACTGAAGAGGACTCTCCTCCACTGTGCGTTCTGCCAGTTGACATGTAGGGCCTACCTGTGCCCACTGTATCCGTTGCTGTAGATGCCTTGGTGTTAGGACAGCTCCCTGGTAAGGACGCCTGCAGTGAAGACCAGCAGTCACTAACCTCCGTGGCACAGTCCAGCAGGTAAGTTGGCTTCCAGTCGTTCCCATGATTGTTCTGGCAGTCTCTGCACCCGGCAGAAACGGATCGCGGCGGTGCCGACGAATGATGACACAATAAGGGCCGAAGTTGTCCCCCTTGGTCTTCCACTTCTTGGTCGATCTGCTGTGGTCGCTGTCGCTTGTAATCGGGTCCGAAGGTGATAAATGGTGCTTGGGTGGACACCAAAAACCTGGGACACCTGTTCCACCGGCCGCCAGTCGCCCGACAGCTCTTTCTCTGTTTCCCCTTGATAACCTTGGCATGTCTGTAGCTCGTCTGTTTCGATATGAATGCAACATTTTGAGGCGCGGATTTTATAGGCATACGCCCAGGACTGAGTGAGCATAAACTCACCACTGACAACAAGTTGCAAATGTGTCCCAGTGGTGAGTGATGACTCGTGAGTTGTGTATTGCTTACGCAGCCAATGACATCTTTGCGATGCTCAAAAATGCCCAATCAATACGCTCGAGGCAAGTGTTGAGTGATATGAGTTCACATCACACAACTATGTACTCAGCATTGGGCGATTACAACAACATAAAAAATTCGCTTTTTTTTTGCATCTCACAATATATAAATTATGGGCCCACAGCATTAAGTTTCCGAAGGTGTTCTGCTGTTTTTGCTCTTTTGTAGGGCCACAACCTTATTCATTGATTACATGTTGCACTGTTTTCACATTTTCTGTAGTGGTTAGCTTTTAGTAGTACTATGATTTTGTAGATTTGGGACACAAGGCACAGTATATTGTATTATTATACAGGGCTGTTTTTCAATGGATGCTTCAGACCTGCCAGGTGCTCCAATAAAATTGGAGACCTCCAAATATTTTTTGTCTGTTTAAAGAACCCTGATGGGATTCGCATAAAATTCGGTTTTTTCCTTGAATTCTGTTTTCGTTGGCCGTACGCAACTTATAGTAAATGATGGGAAAATACCCAGGTTTATTTGCAATATATGTGCGACTTATCGTAAATAACATGAAAGTAAAACATTTATATTGTAAATTTTATTTGTGATACACACGTTTATTTCGCAAGTTTGGTTTGTAATGTAATCTATTTGTATTCTGGAGGCTCCTGTTTTTTGGTGATGGAGTGGTTGGCAGGTCTAGTACTTTCTAGTTTTTGTGATATATAATACATCATGTAATATGTGTATTTGGTTATGTATTGCCCTGCTCAGGGTATTGTGATTATTCCAGTATTGTGAACATTCTGTAGAGGTGCCAAACAACAAACAAGGAACAGTGTGCGAAAGGAACAAGTTCCAATGTGAGAAGATGGTCCAAATCTTAAAATATGTGAGGCCTGCATAAAAACTTAGTTACTTCTCAAATTTAAGCTCTTTGGACAAAGATACGTCAAATTTATAGGTGAGTTTGTACAATTTATCAATATGAAATGATGAAAGACATGTGAAACTTGAAGAAAATTGCATCAGTTGAAAAATCTACAAATTTGACCCCAGTGTTGATTTACAGCTGATATATTTCCTTCAGCGGACTGCAAGAAGTAACTCCTTATGTCAGCACGCCTCACATATATGCGAGACATCATGGTGAATCAGGCGCTTGTCAAAATAATTAAATCGAATATATCGAGATTTTTAATCAAATTTTTTTTTTTTTGACTCAACACCTGTTTTGCCCATTTAAAAACAGATTTCTATGTGGATTCGACTCAAAGCTATTAATTAAAGGCACTCAAAATGTAAATTTTCCGTTTCCAAGGACTCTCAAGCTCTCAAGCTGTGTAAGTCACCGAACTTTGGCGACCATTTTCTTGCTAATTTTACTTTTGAAACCAGGCTACCCCCACCTCCTTTAATCGCAAATATCTCGACTTCTGTTCATGACAGACTGGTATTTTCTTCATCGAAAAATAGACAAATGAACACACCTTCTGATGATACCAATGACTTCACATGACTAAAAGTGACAAGCGCCTGATTCTACCGTGTCGTGACCCATAGTGAAATCAACGATTGTAGCAGGGGGCCTGTGGTGTCTTGCACATAACTTGTTTGGTTCTCAGAGTAGTTTTGTAAGGTGTTCTGACAAAATGAGTTATTTCCCCAAATTTTAGCCCTATATATGGAAATAGATGACATGTGTCAAATTTATAGATGGAGTTTGCACAATTTGTAAATATGAAATATATGTAATAAAAGATAAGTCTTGAAGAAAATGTCATGAACTGACAATCAACATATTTGAACCCAGTGTCGATTTTTGGCTGAAATCTCCTTTTGTGGATTGCGAGAAGTAACTCATTTTGTCAGCACCCCATACATTGTTAATTGCTACTGTTTCTTGCATATTTGTAAAAACCCTTTGAAAATGGGTCATTTTTACTTTTACCAAATCGGCATTTGCAGATCAGGGCTTCTTTTTGAGCTTTGTGTAATAATAGTAATAGTCCCATTTCATTTGTGTAATGGAGCAAATTGCATAATCCCACTGCACACAAGCTTTGGTTTTCTATGTAAATTTGTTCTTCGTTATTTTGCCTCAATTTACTGTAGTTATTTTTATTTTGAGTGTGTGTGTGTGTGTGTGTGAGCAGACTTTATCATTAATGTTTCAGTTGTATGGAAAGTTGATCTGTTTGATTTTTTCATTATTTTGCCATCAGTATTGTACATTTTCAAACGAGCAACCCAATTTACGACTAGAGAGATTTTTGTGATTTTGTTTATATTTATTTTTTATTATGAGATGCCGTGTGGGAGAGTGTTTCCTCGATCGGCACGCTCTTAACTTTTCACAACTGTTGATTCCACTCTGGTGCTTCTGAACTGTATCGGCTGTTTTCAGTAAGGGTTATAAAGTTATATCATTTGAGGGTCTACAGAAGGGCGTTTAAAAAAAGTAAAAATGTAACTATTTCACCAATGTTATTCTTTTCTGAAATCTGTACTTTTCTTTCAATGTTTCCTCAAGTAAATGAGTGCTTTAATGATTTTGTATGAACAGTATGTGTCTCTGTGAGTGAGTGGTGTTCCCATCACTGGTGAAGTGTGTGTGTGTGTGTGTGAAGAGGCCAGGAGCACCAATCAAACAGACCTACCACTATAACTATTGCTACTTAAATTATGAACCTATACCAACCAAGACCTAATTTTTTACATATTATACTCAAGTGCTTAAAGATCATTGCTCAACTGATGACCTCAATTATATATATATTATAAAAGTGGATAATTTTGTGTTCCTGTACCTATTGTTTAGATTCCCACAAGGATTTTATACCAGAGGAAGAAATTTGTAAGTAAGAAGAGGGTTTGTGAAGATAGGAGATTGTGAAAATTGTAACATTGTGATGTCTTAAATCTATACAGTGCAACCTCTCTATAACGACCTTCAATATAACGAATTCCTCTGTTGCGACATGGTGCCCAGGTCCCGATTTTTTACCTTATATATCATTAGTAATTTTTTGTTGCCTCTTTATAACGGCATTTTTTTCTGGTCCAGACCATGTCGTTATAAAGAGGCTGCACTGTATAGACCTATAGGAGCTAAACTCAGTCTGTATTCACATTCCAGCTAGCTTGGCTTGTTTTGCAGCTAGCCATGAATTAAAACAGAACTTATTGGAATTTTTAATTGCGGATGGCTTTTCTTTTTGTGCACAGAAAGTGTAGTTTGACTACCCAAATAGTGTACAGCATTGAAGACTTTGAATAAATCTGAGACTTTTCCCCCCTTAACTTTTCCCTTTAGAAAACAGATCAATATGTGGCATCTTCAGCTTTTACTTTTTTAGACCTACTCAAGTTGGCAGTAACTAGTGCCTCTGTATTATAACTGTATGGCTTTTTCACTTTTGTTTTTGTGATGGTCAGAAAGGCTCATCGCTGGTTGGGGGAGGGGGGTTGTAAAGTGTTTTGTGCCTCTTGCTTAGGTGGATTATTCTGAATTTTATGTTCTTTAATGCACGAATCAATAGTTGCTCTTTTCTTATACCCAGTGCACACTGCCAATCAAATTCATTTTACTTGGGGCAAGCCAGATTTTTCTTCATCAAGGGGCAAAAGCTACCATTTTGGCACACTACAGCAGTTTGACTCAGGAGCATTGATTGAAAAACAACTATTTGATCTTGAGTCACTGTGGAATTTGGTGGAATTGTGCTAAAATGATAGCTTTTGCCCCATCCATGAAGTATGAATGCTGAGTTGAGGGATTATTTCATGAGATGATTCAGATAACTATGATAACTACCTGTTTGCTGCTCATAAACTGTTATTTCATGGTGCGCACAAATTTTGTGACTGTCGAGTTCAAAATTATGCCTAGCATCATGCACATTTCTTAAATGTTACATTATAATGTTGGACCCACCGGTCATGGCCTGGTCTCGTGCCTTTTTGTCTCACCTCTCTTACTCTTTGTTCTCATGAGTAGAATTTTTACTGGATGGCATTCCTAAAAATAAAAGTGAAAAGTTTAGCCACAGATCTGTGGGGAATCTCAATAATACATCCAGCAGATTGATGCAATCAGTTGAGGGTGATTTGGTCTCCATGATCAGATTGATAGGTCTGATGGGTTTTTTTTCTTTATATATACAATTGGAATACATTTGGGATTGGTTGATTTCTTTTTCCTAGATCACATTAAATATCATTAATAAGAGCTCACTGGTGTGTGAGGTTTTGGTGCACTTCATGCAGTTTAAAAAAAGAATCTTACATAATTGTTGTTTCTTTGAACAGCACTTGGGTAATGTTGGTACAATCATTTATATAGCTCGTTCATTTTCATTTGACCGCGATTAAAACGCACTAAAAACAATTTTGCTTAGTTTAATCTTTTTGGGTCTTTGCATGCAGGTCTTATAAAAGTAGTTAGCGACCAACAGATACTAAAAGCTCATTTATAAAAGTCACTGCAAACTAAGGTTTCGACATGTTTTCTTTGCTGTAGGCCTATAGCGGGTCAAAAAAATAATAGGGGATTTACAACATACACCTAAAAAAACACTTAAAAGTTGACTATATTGTCCTCAACACCACTCTTTAACATTTGCCTAAGAAACATGATTCAAGAGATGGGGTGAGTGTTTTTCGAGACACATGTGGAGCATATGGAGACATCTTCATCTAGACGGCCGGGAGATGAAAACTACAAACTTTCACTTAAATGTGAGGGTAGGGTGGTGTCACTGTCTCAAAATGAACAATTTGTAGACAAGGCCACAGTAAGTCATTTATTTTAATGATCCTGTGTACGCACCCAAAGAACAGTTTTTAATGTAGGGCCCAAAGAAAAAACCCGTTTTATTGCAGGGCCAAGATTTTTAAAAATAAATCTTTGTTTGGTCGCTGGCCTGCAGAAGTGCCATGCAAAGTTTCGTGGGCATAAGTACATACATATATCTCAATGAGCTAAAAAAAATGTTAACATGGTCAGATGAACAAGCTCTATTATATTAAATATAATAATATATGTAATATATATCTGCAGACTGAGTATTTTTTTCTATCTCAAGGCGGAATGAGGACTGTGCCTCTTTAAGTTTAAGCTGTCTTGATTCCTCAAAAGGTGAATGGTGATGCTATAGTGTGACAGAGGATAACGTAGTCGACGCTGAACAGACTTTGATAACAGGCACTCAGAGCTGAGTGACTTTGAGACGAGCAAGAAGCAATGTGCCTGTCACTCTTACTGTCTTGTGTGTTATTTGTCCTGTTATTTTCCCAACGTTAATGTCTGCATATTTTTAAAAAACTGAACAAATTTGTGCATAGATGACAGTGTGGTGCATGTTTGTTTTTGTGATCCAACACATACATCTTCGTCGTCTCGGACTTGATCCATATTTGTGTCGGCCGGAAGAGTTAGCCTCGTTTGGTGGAAAAACTAACCCGTATCACCGTTTCACTTTTTCTAGTCAATAGCAATGAAACAGATAGCACAGTCTAGCATACACGTAATGAAACATGTGCATAGCATAGGCCCTACAGACTTTCAGGTCCTACATGTTTTCATGTGCCTGTATTTCCTTGTATTTAAAACATGTACACGTAATGTACTTCCTTTTATTTTTAAAACATGTACATAGTGAAATTCAAAAATAATTAAATGATTTCTGCATCTCACCATTGTCATTATGGGTGTGCTAGACTGTACTTCTGTTGGTCTGCCATCGTCATGAACCTCACAATGCAGCACTTGACTAAGTTGTATATGATTATATAGAAGGACATTTTTTTCTTCTTTTTTGAAGATGTCCAAGCATTTGAAATTTTTTCCCCACGTTAATTTGTTCATAAAATCAGATGAATTATTCCAGATGGTGGAGGTTGCTGATAATAGTACAGTACAAGATTATACAAATGTGTGAATTAATCACAGTCATGCTCAGCTGTTTTGAGGCATCTGGCTAAACCTGGATTTTCTCAAAACTGTGTGTTTTGGACTCCCCAACTTCAAGTGGCCATAACTTTGGTGCCAAAGCAGCTAGAGAAATAAGTTCTGTTTTCCCCACTTGCTGGGCAGGTGGTTGTTGAGATCTGAACGGGCAGAGGTGCCTATCCTATAGCATTGCTGACTTCAGACATTGTTGTGTGGGCTGGGATCTTGCATGCATCATAGATCTACAGTATACATGTTATTTCTTTTTCTATTATTACCTTTACATATTGTATGATCCTTTGTTATGGCCATATTATGCTTGCAACTGGACTTAATGAAAAACAAATAAAACATTTTACATTCCAAATACATGCGTCTAGTTTATTGCTGCTGATTTTTTTCAACAGTTGGCCATGCATGGTCTTGTGGGAAGCGTTTACAATTTTGAAAAGGCTGTGATGTATTTGGTATGTGTACACAGACACTCAGCCACACCCGACTACCAGTACCAGTAAATAAACTTGGTGCATGCAGCAGGCCATTGGAGGCAAACTTATAAAATGTTTCTCACACTGAGACAAGGAAAGTACAATTATAAAGAAGAAACTTCTAAGGTTCATAAGAAAATCTATTGTACATACTGCATAGAGGTAGAAGTAATCTCTTTCAGTTCAGATACGTAGTCCAGCAAAACTGCTGCTGCACACTTACTTCCTTTCCACTCTCACTCACTCAATTACAGTACAGCTTTGGCACTTTTCACTTATTTGTCTTCCATGATTAAGAAGAAAAAAATATGATAATTCTGAGGTCCGTAAATTAGCAAAGACACATATAAAAATAGTGTGAGATCAAGGGAGATGAGAAATTAGAGAGTAACATATTCGGACGGGTAGGATGTAGGAGTACTGCAAAGTAGGACAGACTTTGTAAAGAGTGTGCGCTCGTACATTCTCCTAAAATTTGGACCATATTCATAAAGGTGCGAGTCACCGTGAGGTGCTGCATGTAGGACTGAACACAAAATGGGGATGGAAGGTCACTTGCATGTTATTTTGAATGCACTTTCCCACAGTATTTAAATAAATCGTCAGCCAGCTCTTCAGATGTAGCCTACCAAGCCCAATTTAAAAAAAAAAAAAAAAAGAAAAAGGCAGTTTCATAATCTGTGGTACCAGTATCAGTTGAATGAACTTGAGAAATAATTTGAAAAAATGTAAAGTCTGAAGTTAAAAATAGCAACAACAAAAAAGCTACATAATGCAGGTACACTTCTAAAAGAAAGAAACAGTTTTTCCCTCTCTCTGAAAAGTGCAGCTTGTAGGGCTTAGAACATGAAAACGGCTCGCTGATGACGTGTGTCCTACCTCACATAGAAAGACTCTGTGTATAAGGCCAGATACTTGCAGACAAATTTATTTATTTACATATGGGGAAATATCTTGAGAAAAGTATGACTAGTCTGTGTACCTAATTACAGTATAGATTCAGCAACTGTAACTCATTGTTAGACAGGACTGAGGCCGATGTAGAATTTATCGTTGTCATGTTGCATTTGATCTCTTCCAGCCACGAGGACTCTGGACTGTTGACAATGCTCCAGCATGCTCGGGGCTAGTCCTTTTTGCCTTTTGAGTAATCCTCTGCCTTCTGCCACAAGTCGAGGGGACTTGGAGCATGGGGAACCTGGGAGAGATCAAAGAAAAGCACACAATAATCTATGCCTTTGTAAAGTACATTTCAGATTTGTTTGATGAAGAATGCTCATCGACAATAATGGTCTTTTTGGTTGAGATTGAGACATTTATGGCCTTGTCGAAGATGGGAGAAGCATGAGATGGAGGCAAATCACAGCCCCCGTACACTACAGGAACCAAAACGAAATTATACAGAGCATAAAATTAGAAAGAAACGAAAAGGTATTTTTCTCTGAATAATTGCGTAAAGTGCTGCTTTGGATTTTTCTTTCTTTGAAATTTAGAGTAAGTCTCAGTAATAAAAGACACAAAATCACCAGACCAACATTTGCTTGTACACACGAAATATGAGGACACCTTGGAATCACTGGATAGTCAATCTTGTGAACAAATAAGAATAATAAGATCCTCTCTCAGGCTAATGGATATTGTGAAGAAATAAGATCCTCTCTCAGGATATTTTATATTGTGAAGAAACAAGATTCTCTCTCAAGACATTGTGAACAAATTAAATATGATCCTGTCTCAAGGCCTTTTTTTCTACTTATGGCTTCCCACTATACAAGGACAAAGATTCTCACTGGTCCGATCACCTCTTCATACCCGCCCTCACAACAAAAACTTACTGGACTTTAGTCATGTACCAAAGTAAGGTGGATAAATAGGGAGCATAGATGTACAGCCAACACACAACCCTCCCCCAAAAGACAACTACACCTGACTTCCTTAGCCGCCCCCCCCCTCCCTGCCACGTTGCAGCACAACTATACACATATTATCCCCGTAGGCCTACAGAATTAAAATCATTGCTAATATTAATACAAAACTGGTATTAGTTTTTTAGTTTTAGTAGAGGTTTTACGGCGCTCGCAACTGCATAAAGGTCATATGAGCGCCAGAAGATTAGAGGAGTTACAAGAGAGTAACAAACATAAAAACGAAAAAGGGGAGAACAAGGACGATAGATGTTCGACAGGAAAGAAGAAGCAAACCCCACCAGAGCACCCGCCAACCACTCAAACTGGTATTTAAATTTTTTAAACTCCACACATGAGCAAGTAAAATCTAAAGCACTGGAGTAAGGGATGATTCATAGAACACAGCACAAATCATACCTCATAGTTCTGGGCGGCAATGACACCAACGTAGATTCCCACCACAAGGGAAATCTGAAATAAATGTATGGGTAAAGTAAGTAAGAAGCTTTCATTTATTACACACACCATAAATCTACTCGTTCTCTCTATCTCTTAGATTCATCCACCCTGACCTTTCTTCTTCAATAATTTCTCTCTATTATTATTGTCATTTTCAAAAGTAGCCTACATCATGAATATTTGTCAAATTTATGGGAAAAAAACGTCATTATAATCCTACCAGTTAGCAGTCCCTTTCTCCACATTCCTTCTCTCTTTATACGCCTTACATTAGAACAAAAAACTATGTACTTTTACTATCATGCCTTACCAACAAAAACATAAACTGCTTTAAAATCAATACAAGGGTATTACATGTATGTCAGCCAGATCACCAGACAGCCAAATGCCATGGTCACATCACACTTCAAATTCAAACACACACGCATGCTAGTTTGTAATTTTATCATACTGTCTTTCTTTTACTTTTGTGTGATGCAAGTGATAAATGATGATGTTCTGAGGATGAGTAAAGAAGAGAGAGACAGACAGACAGACAGACAGACAGACAGACAGACAGACAGACAGACAGACAGACAGGGGAGAGAGGGTGGGAGGGAGGAAGAGAGAGAGAGAGAGAGAGCAAAAATCAAAAAGATATGAGAACATGAATGGTGGTTATCTATGGGTATGGACAAATTGTGCTCAGCAAGTTAGAAGCTGCCATCACATTTGAACGGCTGAGCTGTGTCTGAAGCATTATTATACATATTACAAGGTAAGAGGTTGCTGTTTGAAGATATGATTGATATCATTCTTTTTTTATTGAGGCAGTATCTTGCTGGCTTACCTACAGTTTAGTTATTATTTATCATGAAGCAAATTGCAAAAAGAGCAGTACATATATTGGATTTTGACACATGATGCATATATAAATGTTACTAAACTGGCAAACATGAAGTTTTATCAAATTAATTCAGTTTTCACTTTGGGACTCACCAGTCGAGACATCTTTCTTGTTTATTTGTTGTGATTTTCCTGTGACACAATAGAAAAATGTACAAGCATCAATGGTGTGCTAGCAGTGCAAAATATCAATAATTATTAGGATAAGTAATCAAAGTAACAAATATAAAAATGTTCATTGCTAACAACAAATGGGCAAATGATGTTATAACAGGTCCACCACTCTCTATCATAAACGTATTATATGAACAAAGACAGTAGAAATCATGAACTTTCAAGATACGATATGAAGTATGATATAAAGCATCAGACAATTCAGGAATGTGAAGCTAGAAAATATTGTGCTAGTTATTGATGGCCTTATAGTTATAACTCACTAAACTAATACTACTAGGGTGGATCAAAAGAAAGTACCAGGTATGGAAATTGCTATCCAGCAGCTCAGACAATGACTTCAGTCATAAAAGCAATACATAATATAGTAGTTTAATACATATATGGCATTTGGACTCTCAAATCAACCATTGAAGATTTGTGAGACATCATTCTTTTAATTGTTTTATGATGCCAAAATAGAAGGGAATACTTCTTTTTTTCTTCATATCTTTATTTGGAACAGTCCGAGAACACCACCTGTCTTAGACTTAGAGGACCACTGTCCAAGATGGCCATATGTTGTTGAGGAGAAAAATAGTCATCTTAACCAAGTGGTCCTCTTGGACAGTGTGTTTATAATGGAAAAAACTCAAGAGGTAAAGAGGTTGTTTAAGCAGATGATTGTCTCGGATGGCTGATGATTCCACTACGAAGTCCATCTGACTTACTATACATTAATATTCTGGTACCGTACACTTATTATATTGAATTATCAAGTTTACTACTTCACACACCATCGGACAAATAGATCAAATGAATTGAGAGGTGTGAGGGAGGGAGACAGGAGGAGAAAGAGAGAGACAGAGAGAGAGAGAGAGAGAGAGAGAAAGAGAACAGACAGACACACACACAGACAGACAGACAGACAGACAGACAGACAAAGAGAGAGCATGTCGGAGAGAGAGAGAGAAAGAGACTTAGAAAAGACAGAGAGGGGCAAGAGGGAGACAGAGAGGGAGAGAAAGGGGAGGGGAAGAAACTTAAGGGAGAGCGAGAGAGGGGAGGGAGTGAGGGGAGAGAGAGAAAGAGAGACACAGACAGAGAGAAACATGTTTGAGAGAAAGAAATACTTAAAGAGACAGAAGAGAGTGAGAGACAGAGGGGAGAGAGAGAGAGAGCAAGAAACTTAAAGGAGAGAGGGAGAGAAAAACAGAGAGAGAGAGAGTGAGAGAGAGCAAGTTTAAGACAGAGAAAGAAGGAGACCTGAAGAGACAACAGAGAGGGCGACAGGGAGGGAGAGACAGAGTAGAGAGAGAGAGAGAGCAAGAAAGAGACATGAAGAGACAACAGAGAGGGCGAGAGGGAGGGAGAGACAGAGTAGAGAGAGAGAGAGTAGAGAGAGAGAGAGAGAGCAAGAAACTTAAAGGAGAGAGAAAGGAGAGGGAGGGAGGGAGACAGAAAGAGAGACAGAGAGAGAGAGAGGGGGGGAGAGGGAGAGAGAGGGGGCAAGTTTGAGAGAGAGAAAGAAAGAGACCTGAAGAGACAACAGAGAGGGCGAGAATCTTGTGTTAGTTTCTCGCTAACCCTCTAATGGCAAGATCTACTTCTCTCGATAACTGCTTGACTAACGTGAAGTACCTTTTGGCAAGATTTCTAGTACCGGTACTCACTCTTCTACGGTCTTACCCTTGGCTTTGAGTGGACGAGTGCTCAGCTCTTCCAGCCAACCTCTGCTCCAGCTGCTGACCTAAATGTGTCTCTGTTTGAGAAGAGCCAAAAGTAACATTATTTATTTTACCTCCATATATTGAAGAAGGGGGGGGGGGGGGTACGCTAGGCTTTTCTTTCTACGGCACTGAGCATTAACTTGAACTTGATTTAAATTGAAATAGAATCTAAGTACATCCCCCCCCCCTTCCCCCCACCCACTCTCTCTCTCTCTCTCTCTCTCTCTCTCTCTCTCTCTCTCTCTTCCTATCTCTCTCTCTCAACTGGGCTCCCCCTCTCTCTCTCCCTCCCCCCCCCCTCTCTCTCTCCCTCCCCTCTAACATTCTACATGTAGGATTGTAGGCCTACCGACAATGATCACAGAAATTGTCACTCACTTGCCTTTAGAACGAAAAGACATGCCTTGAGCAGCGTACCATAAATACGGGATCGCCTGTTACTTTATAACAAGTAGGCTATAGGCCTACGGCCTAGATCGTTTTTATGATGTACCAGATAACCCCGCCTCTGTTTCAGTTTTAGTCTATAATTTCCCCTTAGCAACAGGCAGGCCTACAATAATTATTACACAACAAGAAACAAGAAATAGGCCTAATGTTACAATGTCCCTCCCTGCCATCTAAAATGTAGATCTAGACCATGATTAATTGTTTTTAAATATACACATCGTCACAGAAAAGTTCAGTCTTACATCAGTCATGATAAAAAGACAAATAAAAGGCTGTAGACAAACACCTTCCCACCTTTTGTGTCACAATCCAAGCTTGGGTTTCAAGTGGGAGTAACGCCCTACGTTCATTTGCTGACGTTAGAGTTTAGAGGCGCGGTGCGTTCTCGTGCGTGTGGGAGCTCGGATTTATAGAAAAATCATGTCCTGCGTGAATAGCTGTATTTATTGGATCTAGATCTAGATCTACATCTACAGCTGTATAATTCTAGGGGACTTTTACTACTTCTAGAGTCAGGTCTGATGCAGACACTGACGATCATGATGACTCTTTCCTGTTGTCTGTCTTCCCGATCAGCTCAGTTTTACGCATAGTGTTAAATCTATTTGTTGCAAAGTAGTTCAGGCCATGGCATCTGTGAATGTTGTTCTTTATCTTCCTCCGCTTTTCTATCCCTCTATCTCTATCTATTAAATGTCATCGTACAAGAGAGTGACAACATGGGCTTAAGCCTAAACATCAAGAAAACCGAAACAATTGTGATAAGCAGAAAAACTCCAACCCCAACATGAAATATCAAAATCAATGATACCACCCTCAAGCAAGTACAACATTTTAAATATTTGGGGACCATTATATTATCATCAGATGGTAGATGTCACACCGAAATTAAAAGCCGCATTTGCCAAGCAAAAGCAACCTTTCACAAGATGAAACAAATACTAACAAACATCAATCTGTCACTGGAAACGAGAAAAAGAGTACTGAAAAGTTACATGAGCCAATCCTACGGGTGTGAAGCGTGGACAATCAATTAAACAGCTGGAAAGAACAATTGTGGCGACAGAGTTGTGGTTTATAAGACGCGTGCTACGTATCCCATGGAGAGCTAGAAAAACAAATGAAGAAGTCCTGGTTGAAAGCAAATTATAGAAGACAACTTATGACGAATGTAAGAAAGCCACAGGCAAATTTTTTCGGACACAGACTGCGGAAAGAAGCATTAGAGAATATTGTAACAACAGGCAAGTTTGATGGAAAGAGATGCAGAGGCAGACAGAGGGAAAAGATACTGGACAAGATGACAACATGGCTAGACTAGGAGCAGCAAGAACAACAGACACCATTGCTGCAGCGCGAGACGGAGTGAAGTGGAGGTCCATGATTGCCCACGCCAGTCGGCAAGGCACTGGACGATGATGATCTCCCCACGCAGTAGATCTAGGTTCTCTAATATATTGATTTATTTATGTGGCCAAAGAATCTCAATTGTTCGTTTCTCATGGCTCTGATTATTATACATAGATCTATCCCACCAACCACAAGGTCACTACTTAAACGAACAATCAAAGCCTTTAACTGGATTAAGATGACGGAGTATCAGTCTGCCATCCTCGTCACCAATTCGACGAGTACCGTCGAAAAAGGAAAGAAACACATGATGTACCGGTATGCAGACTGGCGAGAGGCAATAAAAAGCAACAGACTCAAAAGGATCGTATGGACCTTTAGCCCTGGTCATGCAGGAGTGCAAGGCAATGAACGTGCTGATAAGCTATCCGGCCAGGCAGAGATTGGCGGCACATGCAGTTAGATCCACCAACAGTTATGTCAGCACTGACAGCATAGTTCAACGACTACAGTAGAGAGGATGAAGACATCACTTCACACACAATGGATAGACTAAGGGAAGCTGGTGTCTCTAGAGGGTCCGGGAGAGACAGCAATTTAACCTCCGTGGAAAAGCCAAAAGAATATCCGAGCAGCTGTTAACCAGCACGACCAGCAGGCAGACCCTTTCATGGATCCTGGAGAGGAGGGAGGAGCGGCTTTACTATACATGGCATTGTGCTGCCTGCAATGATGCCTATTCTCCAACCTTAATGTCTTCTGCCAGACATCCTATCACCCTGAACTATTCGTACCAACCCTCTAATAGTTCTTTCAAAATGTGCACTAGATACATAGATAGGGGGCTCTAGTGGCCTTTAGAATTAGGTTAAGGTGTTGGCCTCTCAATCAAAGGTCCCGAGTTTGAATCCGAATAGCGACAGAAAAATTTTCTTCTCTAAAATTGTTTCCTTTCACCTCCTTTCCTGCTCTCTAGCAATGTTCTGTCGTCTGCTTTCGTCTCCTCTTTCTGCCCCCACCCCCTCACCTCCTTTGCCCCTTCCTCTGGGCTCCAGACTCTTTCTGCAGCCTTTCTACTGCTACTTTCTTTCTGGTTCCTTCTTATTGCTGTCTTTCAGCTACACCCCTGATCTTCTGGTAGGAAAGATCTACACCTAGCCTTCTCGGACAAGGGCTAAAAATCTTGGAATGGGTTTTTATATGGGCATAAAAAGTGTTGAGCCAAAATACAAAGATTTGATAAAAATAGCCTAACTGGCGGGAAAATGCCTGTTTCTTCGATTTCATTATTTTGTCGAGCGCCTCATTTCGCCCCTATGCCTTACATATTGTGAGCCTTCTAATGAAATGAGTACTACAATACTAAAACTCAACTTTTGCTTTCCTACACAATAGATGAAGAATATGAAAATCAGAGTTCAAAAACAAAGTCGCTTCTTATCAGAAGAAAAGCATATGATAAAATTATATTAATTAGAAAATCAAGAAAAATTCCACTGCAACCCTGCACCAAGTGCCAACAGCTACACCTAGTACCAACAGGCAAGCTTTGACCTGCTACCATCTGTGGCGTAGTGGTTAGGCACTTTGCTCGTGCATGCAGGAAACCTGAGTTCATTTCTTTAGCTAGATTTTTATTGGGTATCTCGGTCTTTGTGCTGAGATGTTGTATCCCTTGCTCTAGGCCTAGGTAGGCCCTGGAAGACAAGGTCAGAAGCCTGCCTCCTAAATGATCTAAATTGAGTTGATGGAGACATAAAAACACCCACATTTTAATACAATGTTTTAATCTGGAACCAACAGGAGAAAGAAAAAAATAGGAAGACCAAAGAATACCTTACACCACACGCTTTCTACATTCAATAAATTCAAGCTATTTAAAGCATACCTACAGAGAGAGATCTCACCAATGCTCAGCATCACCATGTGAGGAGCAATACTTACAAGGGAACACAGAACATATTTTCTGACATGATGAAAATGGACTTCTGAACTCAGACCAACAAAAATGTATTAACATGCATTATTTCCATACTGGCTGGCAGCTGCTATGTGATTGGACAATCCCAGCACAGAATCAGACAGAGCAACTGGCCTGGGACAGGACAGACGGAGAGAACGTGTCAGTGACGTATCCTCCACAGGGCTCAAAGATGAAAATAAGTAAGAAAGTAAACAAATGAACACAGATGTTATTTATTTTACACCAGTATTTATTCACAACAGCACAGTTTATATTACGATAAAAAAGTAAAAAACGCAGAATTACTCTGTATTGTGCACGAATTACATTATTTTAGAAAAAAACAACTATCCCAAAACAATTTTAGAAAAAAAACAACAATCCCAAATTATAGCACCCCTCCCCCGCACCTCCCTGCCCCCCACCCCTTCCCAATCTCTCTCATATTCACTTCTTGAGCACAACTTCATTCCCCTCATATTAAAAAAAAATTAAAAAATCATAAATTCTCCTCATTCAGCCTGGAGATAAGAATCATGTGTTTTCCACATACCCAGTACGGCTTCACACAAAGTCAGGCATCAAGGAAGGATTTGGGAAGCAAAGTCCAATAAGTAATATAAGAAGAAAAGAAGACACTTTTTTAACATTACCTTTGATTTTGAATTAAAAAAAGAGCACCCCTTTCACCTGATGAGCGTTTGCAAGAAAAGGAGATCACATAATACAAGTTGACAACTTCATCTTATTGCTGGAGCTGAGGCCATCTGCATAAAATTATGCAGGCAACAGAGTACTTCTAAAAGCAAATCCTATCTTGCTGAAGTTGCAAAGACAAAATTACAATCGACAGCCATCAGATTAAAAAAGATAAGTCTATCATCTCATAAAATCAAAAGTTAAACAGCTGGAATGAGAATCCCGAGGATCACAAACAAAAGCCTCTTCAGGACACATCAGCCAAGATAAACAAGTCCTTCCTTCCATCACAGCAGTTTCGTCGTTTTTTTTTCTTACTCTCTCTCTCTCCCACACACGCATACATACACACTGCCACATACTCACAGAAACACAGACACACACAAACATACATATGCACACACGCACCCACCTACCCACACAAATGAATGCATGCACATACACATAGACACACTCATACCTGTATATTACTCTACATAAGCAGTCTCCACAGATAAACTCTTTGCTTGACAGCCAAATCTGCCAAAGGCAGAAATTCCAAAATTCCAAATTACACAGTTAGAGTAATCATATGGACTCTTTACATTTTACTTGTGACTCTGAACATCTGAACATACCCTGAAAATCTTTTACACAGATACTACAGTGTCTAATATCAGGACTCTACAGTAAAGTTTAGAAACGATCGAGGTTTTTGCAGCCAAGTGTCAAACACACACTCCCGCAGTTGAGCCCATGCAAGTTGATAGGGTACAGCGAGAAGCTTTGCGTTAGCGTAAGTCAGCTGCTTCCTGTTTTCAATTCTGCAAAACACAAAATAGTAAAACATTGTTGTATAATGACAGTATTGAACTCGGACTCAACATTTGTTTTTAAGACAATGAAGTTCAATGCATACACATACACATACACATGTTCTCATAGACACAATACACATACATAGTTATAATACATATACAGTAGAGCCTGCTCTTACAGTCCCGTTATAAGACAATCATCTGTACTAATGACCAGTTGCCATTTCCTCTCTTGCGTTATTTTTACATTATAATGAAACTGTGTAAGACGTCTATTTTTCTCCTCGACAGTGGTTGGCCGTCTTAGACAAATCCCACTGTACATTTACAAATGATTGCTACCCCCCTCCATTTCTCTCTCTCTCTCTCTCACACACACACACACACACTCACATAACAGATGGTTACACACACACACACACACATTACAGATGGTTACACACACACACACACATTGCAGATGGTTACACTACACACACATTACAGATGGTTACACTACATACACATTACAGATGGTTACACTACACACACATTACAGATGGTTACACTACACACACATTACAGATGGTTACACACACACACATTACAGATGGTTACACTACACACACATTACAGATGGTTACACTCATACACACACACACATTGCGGATGGTTACACTCACACACAAATCCTGTCTTACCTCAAGGCTGTGGGGAGCAGCTCAGGGTCTGTCTCATCCAGAAGGTCATGAAAACATCGGAAGAGCGACCAACTGCACACCCTACTCCTGGAAACCACAGAAGAAAACAAAAGTCTCAGGGCCTAGCCACACTTCACAATACAGGACAGAGGGTAAGAAAAGTGCTTTAGAGTAAACTCCTCTTCCAAACCAATTGAAACGAGCAACTTTGTCATGCCAGCTACAAATATTGGTGAAGACATCTCAAAGGGCAGTTCCCTGTTTTCTACTTCTTTTTTTCTCCCATTTCTGCTCACCCATTAGCGTCTAGAATGGCCGCACTTTTCGTAGGATTACAAACTAACAAAATGTGAAAGGTCTGCTACACTCTGAAGTGAAAGGACTCTCCCCCAAAGGGCAATTGTGAAAACGTGCAATCGACTGTTCGTGCTATTTAGAACCTTTCAATAGATATAATATGAATAGATAGGTAGACAGACACACAGACAGACAGACAGACAGACAGACAGACAGGCAGGCAGACAGACAAACACACAGACAGACAGACAGACAGACAGACATACAGACACACAGATAGATAGATATCATTTTGTTTACCCTGACCCACCCTGATATAAATGGCACAATTGACAATAATTTCCATTAAATTCAAAAGCAGATGAATGGTGAACCACACGCAAAGTTAATTTAACTCCTAGATGTATGTTGTTTGAACTCCAATACTGCACAGTGCAGAAAACAAGTTCAGTGAGACATACAATCACTAGTAAGTAAAGCAAATTCTTTTTTTTGGAGGGGGGTCCAATACAGTAGCGCCCCCTTTTCCCATTTCATGAGCATGAATTTGCATTTTATGTTTTTGTTGTTGTTGTTGTTAGCGATCCAGTAGCATCTGAGCGTTAACTCTTCGGCATGATGCCATTCGGTAATAGTTGCATGTTTGTTCTAATTGTTGTCTTGAGGAGTAGAGGCAATTAGATGTGTGGGGTAGCTTGGGAAGAAAACATCCCCTTAAATCAGTTAGTTTTCTACAGAAAAACAGATGATGTTCCACTGTCTCTGAGGGGTAGTCACATAGTGGGCAGGCAGCAGACTACTTTACTCCTATTCGGTTGAGATGTTGGTTGAGGGGTACATGTTGTGTTCTAAGTTGGAAGATTATGGATTGATCTCCCCTCCTCAACTCATTGATTGGATCTTTGACCAGTGGTTTATTCATGTGGCCATACATCCTCCTTCCTGTCGTACCTGTGGCCCAATCATTCATCCACTCTTCCTTGAGGTTTGACTTGATCATTTGGCAGCAGGTGGTGTAGTTCGTAGGAATTTCAGGTTGAGGGAGACTAGCTCCTTTCTTTGCCAGAGCATCAGCTCTTTCATTTCCCGGTATCCCAGTGTGGGCAGGAATCCATTTTAGGACTACTCTGACGTGGTGCCTACTTATCAAGTTATGTAATAATAATAATAATAAATAGCATTTATACTGCGCATTTCCATTTCCTAAAAGATGCTCAATGCGCATTACAATGAAAAAGACATCACATCTTAAAAATTAATCGACACAAATGTGTACGTAAAACAAAGTACAGTAGTCTCCGCCTAAGATCCCGGTGCTTGGGAGCAAAGAAATGCGGGATCTTAGGCGAACCGGGATCTTAACCGACGATCCCAGGGAAGAATCTATGGGGACCCATGTTAAGGTTTAAAATCGGTAAAATGGTCTCCCTCCACCCTAAAATGAACTGACGTGACCCCTTTGTGGGTTTATGACATCTATGGTGAGCAAAGAGTGGTTAACCTTGATGGCTTATCACAGTGCATAGTGCCATGAGGGGAGCCTTTTCACTTATTATCCTATCATGAGTCTCAAGATCAACGCTTATTCAGTTGCCCCTCCCCTTTACCTGTCGAAAATGTATAGCTTTCCATCTCTGACCGAGTCCCCCCCCCCCCCCCCCCAAACGTCTTTGTCGTTACACACAATTGTGTTGTGAACACTTCAGTCTGTCTAGCAAATTCGGGCGTAATGACAACTGCTGCAATTAACACCTACTGCAATGGTCAGGGAAGAGTTCACGGTTCGATGTGATCCCGCCTGGAACGAACGTTCTCTGATCGTCTAGGTGTAGGCCCTATCCACCCAGCGAGTGATGTAAGTTTAGGGGGAGAGTTCAGGTGGGAGTGCGATGCATGGGGAAAACAAACGTGTCGGTCAGTTCACACCCCGGTGTGATCCCGTCGGGGGCAAACATTGTGTCGCTTCATCCAGTTTTACAACGTGTATGTGATCACATTCACGATAGTGGCTGATCTTTGATGCGACGGACAGTTTATTGATCTCAACTTTTCACTCTTGTTTGATCGGCTGTGCCCGCCCGCGTTTTTGTTCCGCAAATTATGATCTGAAATGCGGGATCTTAGCCGAATGTAAACCTTCAGAGTGAATTAGAGCGGGGTCTTAGGGGTGACTTTTGTATAGTAAAAATTCTGTTTTCTTAAAACAGCGGGATCTTAAGCAAACCGGGATCGTAAGCGGTGGGATCTTAGGCGGAGACTACTGTATTATACATATAATATAAATGCATATGTGTAAAATTTTATACCAGAAAAACAGTCTCGCAGTGAGGTTGAAAATGTGTTCACTAAAAATATACAATGCAATATAAATTCACGAACAGTCAAAATACAGTTGAAACGTGAGTAACTAGATACATTCATTAAAACATTAATTCTATACAGATAGAAAAACATTTCCGTTCTCTCTCTCTCTCTCTCTGTCTGTCTTTCTCTCTCTCCCTCTATCTCTCTCTCTCTTTCTCTCTCCCTCTCTCGCTATCTCTCTCTTTTCTCTCTCTTTTCTCTCTCTATCTCTCTCTTTTTCTCTCTCTCATTCTCACTCGCTATTTCTTCAGTCTCACAGTCTGGCATACACATACATATATATCACAGTACATCATTATGACAGGTATGCTTTTGTGAATAAAAAATGCTTCAGCTGATTTTTGAAAATGGAAATTGTTGGGGCAGATCTTATTTTATATGGGATTTCGTTCCATACCTGGGGACCAAAGAACAAAAAGGAACGCTCGCCGTATGTTTTGTAGTTTTGTTTTGGAGTTTTAAGATGTAGACTCCAAATCAAATGC